TCATAGCTAAGATTCAGACTTTTCCTCAGCAATAATATACACAGTACTATCCTTGATACAACAAACAAAGTAGCAAAGTGGTCACAAATGTCACCTGACCAGAAGTTTAAGACATGTGCAATTTTGACAGCTCATGTCATTCAGCAGATGAAAGATCAGCTATCTAGGGTTAAATTGAATAAATTTTAGCTATTTATTCAAGTTTTAATGAGTAGATTAGTTTGACAGTGATTTTGAAAATTCATTTAAGTATATGCAAAATATACATAATGAATGATTTTCAAACATGCATAAAATATTTTGAGATTTAAATAATAATTATAATTTATTACACATGTTAAAATTTTAATATGTCCATATACATATTTGAAGAAATCTAACGATTATTTAGTAAAAATAAACTAAACTCTGTAATAATTACCAATTCTTTTTATAGTATATATAGAAATGTTGATTTGATGTTTAAAATTTCTAAATTTTAATATTAAATTTAAATTTATAAATACTTTTTATAAAATAAATATTTTAAAACTTTTAATATTTAACAGGCACTTTCAATCAATAATTCAACAATCATTCTGCCATTTGTTAAATAAACTAACAAATAAAAAAAATCTTATATTGAGAATTACTGAAAGAAACTAAAGACAAGAAGTTGTAAGAACTAAAAGATGTACTTGTTTTAGAGCTGCTCAAAAATTTTATACATAAAATTCTTTTAAATCTTTTTACAAAAGAATTTTTTCTTTCACATCTTTTTTACAAACCTAGATATCAAATATCATCTAAAAAAAATGAAAATAAAGTCTGAAATATCTAACACTTCTTTGTGTCTATAAAACACTTAATTTGAAAGAGATTTTAAATAGAATTTTTGAAACAAATTGCATTTGCATAAAAACAGATAAATAATATTTCTTTTAATTTCTGGAACCATTTAATTATTATTAACAAAATAAAATAAACTATAATAATATTTACTATTTATATAAGTTTTAAATTTATTATAATAATTCTTCAACAGCTTTGTAATGTAAACTGGCAGATGTAAAATTTCAATTTTTAGATAATACATAAAAAATATAGATATATTACATTTCTTTGCTCAGTCAAAAGTAAAAGTATTTGAATTTGTTGTGTAGCATTATCAATAAAAAAAAATATAATAGAATAAAAAAGTTCTTATCCAGCAATATATTTATCTGCATTTTTGCATATTTTGAGGTTTTAATATTGCATTGTTCTATTTCCCTATCTCTATTTTTACTTAAGTCCATTTTTATTCATCTCTGCTATCAACATCACTAGAGCAAGAAGAAATTTATTTGGCATATTCATCTGATTGATTGTTCTCCTTAAATTTTCAAAACATTTTTTTCAGCATACTGAAGTGGAGGTAGAGTAATACTGGCTAGTGATATATAATTCATTAAATGAAATAAATTATAATACACACAGATACACTCAACTAGTAAATTTAGTTTTTTTTTATCTTTTATCTTACAAATTAAGTTAGTAGTTAATTATCAATATAATTGTTAAATATGGAAAAGGTGATAGTTGGTCATCTAGATTTAAACTACTAATCTAGAAAACAACCAGTGTTGATTTAGTAATAGGTAAATATGAATTTAACAGTTTATATCTATCTATCTCTCTTTTTTAATCAATAGCATGATATATTTTTAGTGCATTTTTGTTATTTCATATCAGATTATTCAAATAAGAAATACAACTTGGTACAATGGTAAATACGAAGGTAAATTATCATTTTATTTAGGAAATGAATAGATCTAAACAGAAAATTTAAGCCATCAAGTTCAGCGATATTAAATTAACTCTTATTTTATTATATTCTGAAAATAGAAAATTACAGCACTTACTCTTATTATATAATTATATAATAATAGTTTATATTAGCTAATTTCTCCACAAGTGAAATATGACCTCAGTCTTTGTGAATTTATTTCTTAACTGATACTGATATATCAAAAGGAGAAAAGATATGAAAAATGTTTATTTTATAAACTAGCAGTAAATAAAATAAATTTTATGTAAATTCTTAAATATAAAATTGTAAATTAAAATTAAAAGATATTAAATTAACATGGTATAAAAGAAATTCACACACAACTTGATTACAGTAATTTATATAAATTTTAATTTTGAGAATTTTTTTCTTACTTAAAGTGAATAATTATATAATACTATCTCTTTTGTTGTCACTGTTATTGAGATTAAAACAAATTGTTTTTAATATATAATATACATAAATTTTTATAATTATGATTAATAAGTAACTTTTAACTTTATTTTCAAAGTTCATTAAATAACAGATTCTTATAAAATGACAAATGACTAAAGTTAGCATTATTGTTTATATTTTAATATCATTCAGACACTTAAATTCCTGAAATGATAATTTCTTAACAAAAATTTATAACAAGATAAATTAACTCAAAACAAAATCATGCATTTTTTACATTCTTCAATATGCAAGTTTCCAGTATACTATTAATAGTTATAGATAACTTTTACACAACTATGTACAGAAGGTATTCCCAACTTTTTTCATGGATTGACCTCTTTTAAGAAACATTTTCCCATTGACCCCTTTCAATATTATGTATTATATATATGCGTAATATCCCTCGTACATAATTCTTTAATTTATTTGAAAGCAACAACTTATGTACATTTTTAATACACATTTTATATTTGAAAAGAATTGACCCCCCCCACTCAAATTTTCAACACTTAAAGGATTGATACCAACCCTATTGGAAAGCTCTAATTTATAATAACTTCACTACTCTTTACTGATTAGTAAGATTTATTTAATATAGTAAGAAACTATTCAACTATACCTGATTCTCATTGTATTTTTTCTTAATATTTTTGTGTATGTTTTGTTCAAACTGCTATTTTGATATCTTTTTACTTGAAAATTAAGAAATAATTTTAAAATTATTTCTAGTGCGAGATGGAGATACTGTTAAACATTACCGCATTCGACAGTTAGATGAAGGAGGTTTCTTTATAGCACGAAGAACAACATTTAGAACATTACAAGAATTAGTAGAACACTATAGTAAAAATGCTGATGGACTGTGTGTTAATCTTCGTAAACCTTGCATACAGGTAATCATTTTATAGTTTATGCAAGTATATAGTTCAGAAATTTAATTAATATATTAATTAATTTATTATTATTATCTATATACATTATTGAAAACATTTTAATAATCATAACATTATTTGATGAACATTATTCTACTAGAAACAATACATTAAATTTTGGAAAATTTTGAGAATAAAAAACGTTGCATGCATCATCTATCTTGATATTTCCTAGGCATGTATTTTAGTGCTTCTTAATAAATTGTTAACCATATGAGAATATTTTGATATTAATCTGGTCTGTCATTCCTGGCTAATCAATTAATATTTACCAGATTGAGTAAGATAACCCTAACAGATTGGAGAAAAATCAAGAAATTCAAAATCTGAGGGATATTCAAAAGCTCTACTTTTAAGTACATTCTTTTCAGTATGCATTTCTAACCTATTTAATTAATAATATAAAATTGAAAGTGATTGTCTATATGGATGATTAAATTATTAAGTCAAAACCCTTCAATTTTACAATCCAATCTTAATATATTATCATCAGTATTCTCCAAAGCTAATTTAAAAGTTAACCATATTCCGAAACCGTGTTGTATCTTTATATCTGTTTAAAAACTGCAATGTAGCACAGTAATCAACACATGGCATAACTCATTCATTTATTCCAGCTTTTGTTGATCTGTTTAAAAACTGCAATGTAGCACAGTAATCAACACATGGCATAACTCATTCATTTATTCCAGCTTACGTGTATAGAAACGCGTCTCAACAAAAGCTGGAATAAATGAATGAGTTATGCCATGTGTTGATTACTGTGCTACATTGCAGTTTTTAAACAGATTAAAAGTTAACATTCAAAAAACAGTAGTAATACTTATTCATAATCCATATCTTCCTTCAATTAACTTAATAAATGTGTTTTTATATTAATGTTAACACACAGAGATCTTGGGATATTATTTAAATATCAATTTACTATCAAATATCATGTTGAAAAGATAGGTTTTGCAGAATAATAATATCCCTTGCATTTGCCTTGGGATATTATTATTCTGCAAAACAATATCTTCCAAAATTGTCCTAAGATGAAAATTTGTGAAGAATATACTTTGTTATAGACTATTGATATAGTCAGCAATTGCTCCATCTCTTGTTAATAAAGCTAGCAAAGAAATTCATATGGTCTATTTTCTGTTAAATAAATTTAGTAAAAATGCTGATGGACTGTGTGTTAATCTTCATACAATCTTCGAAGGTTGAAAAACACTTCGAAAAATGAATGTTCCATTTTTTGAAGTGTTCCATCAGAATTTTTTCTATACCTGAGGAAGAGCTATCTGGACAGCTCGAAAACGTTTGTGAAAGGAAGATTTTTTCATACAAAATTACACCGGTAACAGGTTCCGTATTTAGTATTTCATTCCCGGTGTCAGAGTGAAGTTTAATTTACTTAATCATTTTATAGTTTATGCAAGTATATAGTTCAGAAATTTAATTAATATATTAATTNTTGCTTCAGGGCCTCACTCCCTCTCTCTTTGTTCTCCTTATCCAGGGAAAGGTAATCCTCCCCCAAGGGCAAAAAGAGTTAGACAAAGAAAGTTCTAGAAAGATTTAGACAAAGAAACAAAGAAAATCTAAGACTAATTCAATATAAAATATACAGAATATACCATATCATGGCCGACGGCCACAATGTCTTGCTCTCTAAACTAGTTGAAAAGTTAAATATAAACCATTAATTTTTTAAATATAGTTGATGTTATATAAAATTCTTTATAAACAACTTTTTATTAGCATTCCATTTTGATAAAATTTTAGAAATTTGCTATAAGTGTATTTATTAATGAAACAATTTTATATTTTTTCAGATGGTATTTTGGAAAAATTAAAAGGATAGAAGCTGAGAAAAAGCTTCTTTTGCCTGAAAATGAACATGGTGCTTTCTTAATTCGAGATAGTGAAAGCAGACGAAATGATTACTCATTATCTGGTAACTTTTAATTTTTTTTATTTAGCCCTAGTTTACTAAAGTATGATGATACTAAAGAGTAGTCTAATGCACTACACTTTTTATTTAATTACCCCCTACTACATTGCAGTGTTGCCGGATCTGAAGGTTAAAAAGTAGCGTGGTTGTGCTCCAAAAGTAGCGGATTTGAACTGCTTGTAGCCCAAACAATAAAAATGAATTATTTTGCAACTATGCACTTTTACTAATGAAATAAGTTTGTAATATATGTATATACATACACAGGGTGTATCAGAATGACGTTTTAAAAATTTGGGGATTGTAAAGGATGAAATTTTGAACGTTTTGATATAAGGAACCTACAGCCGGAAATGAGATACGTATAAAGTTTCCACTGCACTTTGCACGTTCTATGAGGTCGGTATGCTGAATGAAACAGCAGAATACAGTATTTATGACAAGTTTTATTGACAAAACAGTAGAGTACAATCAAACTGTACATTGCCATTTGAATCGGAAATCAAATTTTACTGTTTTCTGATTCAGCATAGGTCCTGTTTATAGATCATAATTGATGTTTTTTTTACTTTTAAAAATTTTTATTTCTTTTAAAAAGTTCTAAATTTCAATGGAAAAATGAATTTGGAACACAAAGGAATACTTTAAGCTATCTAATATGATTTTAATAGATGATCAAGTTAATCTTCCTAAATTTCTGATTTTAAATTAACATAGAATTATAAATGTAAATTATAAAATCTTGTTGTGGGAGTTTCAGTGATAATCTAGTTTTGATTCATTTTTAATGTTGAAATAATAGTAACAATTTGTATTTCCAAAGTGAAATATTATTCATGCAAATAAACAAAATTATTTGTCTTTTTCTCACACAGATTAGTGCTACACATATATCAGAAGAATTGAAGTTAAAGTTGTTCCTCTTTCGAAATTTAAAAATTACTTAGGACTACTCTCTGAATGTATTTTTCTTAATTTGATTTATACATGATTAAATTCTTCAATAATTTATTAGTTAACAGAATTTTGTTGTATAATGTTGTGGTGTTCGTAATGAGAGGTACACGATCCCGCGAGCGAAATGGTACAAAATAAATCTTAATACAAAGTATTTTTATTCTCTCTGAACAGGTTCTTTACATTGGATCCCAACTTTACAACTTCCAGGCTTTAATATGTATACGCTCATGAAGTACAAATACAATAATATTTTGAATTGTTTAATGTAGCAGAGGGTTAAAATTTATATTCTAAATCCTTTTGCCTTTTATCATAGTTAATTGTTGCTATTCTCCTATTTTTGAAGAAACTTAAGTAATAGTAATAAAACTGTTAAATTTTTTTTTCTTTTGAAAACAGATGTTTTATTTTGCTCACTTCTATTTTTATTAGGAATTTAGCATTGAAAAATGTAAGTACTATATACAAACTGATAAATTCAAAATATAAAAGTGATTATACGAGCAGTTTAATGTAAGAAGTATCTCACATAAGTATATCATATGTATTTTGTCTTATTTACATGCATTTTCAAACATTAAAATTCAATTAAAAGTACAGTACTCTCATTTTATATATATGTTACATTTAAAACATCTTGTACACTGTGAAATACAAATATCCCATATATAATAAGTTGATAGAAAAAATTTGAGAGGTTGGAAAAATCAATTTGTTAAAACATGTAACATTCCTTATGTTACTTATAAGTAGTTTTTTATTGTTGGAATGCATTAATAATTATGTTAAAATCTTAGATGATTTTCCCTGAAATATTTTCATTTTTAATACTTTTATTCTGTTTGTTTGTAAGATTGTTTCATATATCTGAAGATGGTTTTTCAATTTAATAAAATGAATTTATCTGACTTTNTACAGTACAGTATTTTCTGAGGAAACACTTGTACTTATTTTTTTTAACCCCATTCCCGATAACCTGGCATTTTCACAAACTCGGCCACCCTTCGGTCCACATTAGGCAGAGTTTTCGAGGTTCTACTGTATTGAATTTATATTTTAAATAGATTAATAAGGGTAATTTTAAATAACATCCAATTTAGAGAAATAGTTTCTGAACTTCCCATCATTCGACATAGATTTTGGATGCTCAAAATGAGTATCCAAAATTTGATTCCTAAGATGGACCAAGGATTAGGCAAGAAACAAAATAATGAGTTAATAATGGATTATCATTAGTATCATAGTAAGGGCAGGTTGATATTTAAGGATATGTTTATAATGACCTTTACATAAGATAAGAAATTTATTTAATTACAGCTAAATCTTTGCAATGTAACCTTCTCAGTTCAACAATTAAAGTAGGTAGGAAAATGTTTGCCATTTGAATCGGAAATCAAATTTTACTGTTTTCTGATTCAGCATAGGTCCTGTTTATAGATCATAATTGATGTTTTTTTTACTTTTAAAAATTTTTATTTCTTTTAAAAAGTTCTAAATTTCAATGGAAAAATGAATTTGGAACACAAAGGAATACTTTAAGCTATCTAATATGATTTTAATAGATGATCAAGTTAATCTTCCTAAATTTCTGATTTTAAATTAACATAGAATTATAAATGTAAATTATAAAATCTTGTTGTGGGAGTTTCAGTGATAATCTAGTTTTGATTCATTTTTAATGTTGAAATAATAGTAACAATTTGTATTTCCAAAGTGAAATATTATTCATGCAAATAAACAAAATTATTTGTCTTTTTCTCACACAGATTAGTGCTACACATATATCAGAAGAATTGAAGTTAAAGTTGTTCCTCTTTCGAAATTTAAAAATTACTTAGGACTACTCTCTGAATGTATTTTTCTTAATTTGATTTATACATGATTAAATTCTTCAATAATTTATTAGTTAACAGAATTTTGTTGTATAATGTTGTGGTGTTCGTAATGAGAGGTACACGATCCCGCGAGCGAAATGGTACAAAATAAATCTTAATACAAAGTATTTTTATTCTCTCTGAACAGGTTCTTTACATTGGATCCCAACTTTACAACTTCCAGACTTTAATATGTATACAGGCATTCAATGTTTGTCCTCAAAAACAGTTATCTTGCACACACGCGACAATCTGACGAGGACCGTACTCACTTACACTAACTTATACTAACTTAAAACTAAAAATGGAAGAATAGAAGATATAAGGATAGATAAGGAAAGTAGTAGAAATACCCGGGTTTCTTGCGATGAGCCCTTTGGTGGGGAACAACTTCAAACTAAGTCGTCTTCCCTCGATGATCTCTCTCTGCACTTTCTTGTTTTAGATCACCTTTTCCTTGTAGACCTTTCGTCTACAGT